AAGAAGAAGAAGAAGAAGAAGAAGAAGAAGAAGAAGAAGAAGAAGAAGAAGAATTACCTTTACTTTAATTACTTTTACTTCTCTCTAGCCTCTGTTACCTTACCATTGTGTCGAGGGGTGAAGCCAAAGTCTTTCTCCGGTTTCTTGTATCTCTGATACTTTCATTGCGTTAGTTATGGTTATTCTTGACCATCATGTTTCTCTGACACCCTCTGTCCATCTTTTCACGGGCCTGTGCGTTTAGTTGTATTTAATCTTTTGTGTCTTTGTCCAGTATAATCAATTCAATCCTGCTGGGTATAATATCTATCCTGTCTTGTTGAGTATAATCTATTGATCTATACTGTCTTGTTGAGTATAATCTAGAGACTATACTGTGTTGTTGAGTATAATCTATAGACTATACTGTGCTGTTGAGTATAATCTATAGACTATAATGTGCTGTTAAGTATTTATTTGACCAGCCCATCTGATCAGTTTATTTGACCAGCCCATCTGATCAGTTTATTTGACCAGCCCATCTGATCAGTTTATTTGACCAGCCCATCTGATCAATTTATTTGACCAGCCCATATGACCACCCCGTTTGATTAGCCCATTTTGTCAGCCCATTTTGTCAGCCCGTCTGACCAGCCCATTCTGTCAGCCCATCTGAATAGCCCATTTTGTCAGCCCATTTTGTCAGCCCGTCTGACCAGCCCATTCTGTCAGCCCATCTGAATAGCCCATTTTGTCAGCCCATTCTGTCAGCCTATCTGATCAGCCCATTCTGTCAGCCTATCTGATCAACCAACTTCCACAACTGCAACAAGATATTTTTTCCACACCGTACGCGAAATATGAACCCCGATGAACAGAGATTTGTCGAGGGGACAGTGTGACTGCGAATTACTTGGGCGCATTCAATCTACAACAAGGTGCCCATCATCTGTTTCTCTTGTCATAACCGACAGCCGTTGGCGACCGAATGTCGTTTGCAACCGAATATCGTTTGCAATAAAAATGATATTTGAACACGTCAAAACTTACTTTCAGCCCAGCAAGTTGACAAAAGCCTACAGTAAGATGAAAGGCCAGGCTGCAAAAACATTTAACAGCGATTGCCCGGAGTACGCCCAGAAAAGAATCTGGGATCAAAGCGAGCCAGAGACGCCGTCCTTACCGATCTACGCCAACAATCGTGACCTCGAGCAAACTCAACCCGTTGTTGAAAGTCAGAAACGTAATTCGGCCACTTCTTCAGGAAAATGGTGTAGCCACAACGTCAGCTTTCCCAATCAAAGTGAGGAAATAAACCGGCGAGGTGACGGGGCGGGTCAGGGCAACAAATCCAAGTGTTGCTACTGCGCGTGGGTTTTCGCTGCGCTCGTGTTGTGCATACTGTTCCAACAATGTCAAATCGCGTCCTTGAAAGAAACACAGACAGAATTCCTGCAACTTCTGCGGGAGATGGAGGCGAGGATGGCAGAACCTGCTGAGGCTGGCAACTCATTGCAGGTACAACAACAATAATTAATAGTAATAATAATAATAATAATAATAATAATAATAATAATATTAATAATAATAATGATGATGATGATGATGATGATGATGATGATGATGATTTTAATATTAAGAAGAAGAAGAAGAAGAAGAAGAAGAAGAAGAAGAAGAAGAAGAAGAAGAAGAAGAAGAAGAAGAAGAAGAAGAAGAAGAAGAAGAAGAAGAAGAAGAAGAAGAAGAAGAAGAAGAAGAAGAAGAAGAAGAAGAAAAAGAAGAAGAAGAAGAAGAAGAAGAAGAAGAAGAAGAAGAAGAAGAAGAAGAAGAAGAAGAAGAAGAAGAAGAAGAAGAAGAATTACCTTTACTTTAATTACTTTTACTTCTCTCTAGCCTCTGTTACCTTACCATTGTGTCGAGGGGTGAAGCCAAAGTCTTTCTCCGGTTTCTTGTATCTCTGATACTTTCATTGCGTTAGTTATGGTTATTCTTGACCATCATGTTTCTCTGACACCCTCTGTCCATCTTTTCACGGGCCTGTGCGTTTAGTTGTATTTAATCTTTTGTGTCTTTGTCCAGTATAATCAATTCAATCCTGCTGGGTATAATATCTATACTGTCTCGTAGAGTATAATCTATTGACTATACTGTTTTGTTAAGTATAATCTAGAGACTATACTGTTTTGTAGAGTATAATCTATTGACTATACTGTTTTGTTAAGTATAATTTAGAGACTATACTGTTTTATTAAGTATAATAACCTATCGTGTCTTGTTGAATATTATCTATACTGTCTTTTTGAGTAGAATCTATACTGTCTTGCTGGGTATGATCTATCCGTCTTGTTGAGTATCATCAGTGTAATCTTTGTTGTCTTGTTGAGTAGAATCTAGATCTACATTGTCTTGTTGAGTAGAATCTAGATCTGTATTGTCTTGTTGAGTAGAATCTATACTGTCCTTTTTAGTATAATCTATGCTGCCGTGTTTAGTATACTCTGTACTGTGTCACTGGGTATAATCTATTCTGCCTTGCTGAATATAATCTATAGACTATACTGTGCTGTTGAGTATAGTCTATGGACTATATTGTACTGTTGAGTATAATCTATAGACTATACTGTGCTGTTAAGTATAATCTATAGACTATAATGTGCTGTTAAGTATAATCTATAGACTATACTGTGCTGTTGAGTATAATCTATAGACTATATTGTGCTGTTGAGTATAATCTATAGACTATACTGTGCTGTTAAGTATAATCTATAGACTATACTGTGCTGTTGAGTATAATCTATATACTATACTGTGCTGTTGAGTATAATCTATAGACTATACTGTGCTGTTGAGTATAATCTATAGACTATACTGTGCTGTTGAGTATAATCTATAGACTATACTGTGCTGTTGAGTATAATCTATAGACTATACTGTGCTGTTGAGTATAATCTATCATATCTTTACTGAGTGGAATCCATCCTGCCTAGCTGGGCGTTGTCTCTAGACCACGAGAGCTCCTACGTTGTGTTTCGAGTTTGCACTACTGGTCAAATCTTCTGAACAAGACCCCGAGCTTATTCTTTTATTCTTCCGGAATTGTCCAAGCAGTAAACACCAAACGCACACGGTATTTGAATAGCACGAACTGTGAGTTCACGCTTCGAGACATCACTGACATTCGGTTTTAAAAATCATTGAGGCAAATACAGATGTCCCAACTCACACAGATCAGTACATCAGTAAAAGCCAAACACACACGGTACTCGAATAGCACGAATAGTAACTTCGTTCTTGGAGGCGCCGGTGACGATAATTTGTTTCCTCAAAATGGCACAAGCACCAGGGCCTAGCCTAGTGAGTGATGATCTAAACGATTAAAGTTTCCATCATCAGATTTGCGATATTAAGAATTATAGTAGAGCAACCTCTGGAATGGACCCCCCCCCCCCCCCCCCCCCCCCCCACTATGCTGGGTGATTTCACAGACTGTGAGAAAGCGCTGGACAGCGTCGACCACACCACAAAACACTATGGAAAATAATTGCACCGTGAAATCTATTATCTATTTGTGGTGGCCGAATTTTGCTATTCAAAAGGTTTTTTAATGGCTGCATCGATCGACATGCGGTTTTCGCCAAAATATTCTTTAAAATATTCTCCAGAGCGTGGCGCCCTTGGTTTTTTCAGTTTTGAGACAGTTTTGCTGCAAAAAGCTAAATTTCTTTATTTCGCCGATCGCTTTTGTAGGCCGACTCTTCTGTCTCTGTAATTTTAGAAAATCCGGAAGTGATATTTCGCGAGGCTCATTTTGTTTTGAGAGTATAGATCTAGACCTTCTAATTTTTTGCATCTCTCAATATTTATTTCCCCATTCCAGTAGAGTGTAAATAATATAGTCGGCCAATGACTGTAAGCTTATATTAAAGCACCGATCATCCCTTTCAATGAAAGGGGGCCCAGCTAGTATCATTATAAACTCACTGCCTCAGTATTACAAAGTTTTGTCTGTTCCGTACCTAGTTTTGATACATTAAAATTTTGACGTCAAAGATTTTGAGCTTCATATCATGTCAAACTTTTTTAAATGCTATTGTTTGAATATCTTGATAACAACACCGATTGATCTTACGATTTTGATAGAGCCGATAGATCTAGAATATTAATTGATCTCTGACCTCATAATCTTAGAAACTCAAAACTACCAAAACTTATGTAGCATAACGATGAGGTTGATTCAGAAATTGCTATGAGGGATCTAAAAGCAGTGCCATTCATAACGAGCAGTTCATTTTGAGACTTCGAATTGCAGAGTGGAGTGAAACAGGGCTGTTCACCGTCACCATTCCTTTATCTGCTCACCGTAGACTGGATAATGAAATCCAACAGCAGAGACAAAAAGACAGGGAATGCAGTGGACGCTATGGTGAAGATCAGGATCTTTAATATAATGCGAGTATATGTAAAAAGTGTATTGCGTTATGCATAGGAAACAGATAAACTAGCAAAGAGGACCGTAAACAAATCATAATCCTTCATCAATGGCTGCCTGAAGAAGATCGTGGAAATCCACTGATGGGGCACCCTCAGACATGTTCATTCAAAGCCCTTCATACGGTCCTGTCTTAGGAAGAGCATGAAGTTGACGGTAAGCGGGGCTGGCGGTACAACGGGGGAGGGAAGGGGGGGGTTACAACGTGGTTTGACTGTAGTATTAAGGAGTCGAACAAACAAACAACCAATTGACAGTAAGGGTCAAAAGAAGAGAGAAATGATGGGAACAACACCTGTCCTCCACTACATTCTGAAGCAAACCGTCAGGTGGTTTGGGCGCCTCACCAGCTATCAGAGTACAAGACAAGAGGAAGACCAAGGAAGACCTTGACAGAGGGTGTGGAGGATACCCTGAAAACATACAACATTCCACCCAGCCATGCCATATATAATATACAGTGGTATCCCAAAGAAACTTGAAAATGTAATCACCTAATCGTCAAGTTATAGCCTTGCACTACCCACTCATAAGATAAGATAAGATAAGATAAGATAAGATAAGATACATCTTTATTGTCCAGATCCTGGTACATTGGTTTGGTGTTCCACCACGAGTACACACACACACACACACACACACACACACACACACACACACACACACACACGTACGCACACATGCACACACAAGTAGGCTTACAATCACATGCATAATATAAATGAGCAGCAATATAAACAATAATAATTGTAAGTTAGATACATACTCAATGTTATTTTGATGCATGCTCTAAAGTCGTAAGTACACTAAACAAGATGGTTAAGATGGAAGCATTTTGATAGATGATGGTATAAATGACCTTCTGTATCTTTCTTTGTTACAGATCAGAAGCATGGGTCTTTTACTACTGACTGGTGTTTTTATTTGAGGGAACAAGGGATGTTTGTTGTCTAAAAAGATGGAATTAATTTTCTTAGTGCATGCTGTTATGTACAATTCATCCAAGTAGGGGAATGAAGATGTTGAAATTTTACATGCTTTCCGTATTAGTCATGCAGCATACCAGTTTTAAAGCTAAATAAATGCTTCATCATATGACACATTAATATTCCACCTGTGTTAGGAGGCGCCCGAGATAGTATAGTCACTCAAAATTGACCTTTAAAAATCAGGCTAGGCAAAGATGTGCGAAATCAACGAAATGTAAAAGTGCGTTCGCGCGTGCATTGAGGTGCATCAACATTCGTAGTCAGCATTGGTGGAATGGACATGTATTGAATATCAAATGGAAAGAAAATATGTGAGGCAGCGTGGTGGAATCAGGCTCTCGTCAATTTTTGGGCATGTAGAGTTATTGGTATCATCTTAAAGCTTGTTCACTTGTCTTTATTTTGATGGAAAAAAATATCCATTTATCTTGAATACAAGTCGAGATATTTGCGAATGAAGGGGGTGGGGGTCACCTGTTTTCAGAGGTAAAATTAATGAGAAAATGGCCACCAAAGATAAGTTATTTCCTTAGCTTAAAGAGTCCGTGGTAACTGAAAAGTTTTATTTTTTGTGCCTTCAATCAACGTTTTTCAGAAAAATCCACACAGAAATGTGTTCTTTAATGGGCCTGAAAGGTGTTGAGCCAAAAAACAAAAATGTTTTAAAAATTCACAAACCTGCGGAAAAATGCAAGTTTCTTCACTTTGATTAGTTTGACGAGAGCCTGATTCCATCACGCTGCCTCACATATTATTGTTTTTGCAATGGACAGCATCGTGTGGTGATATTTTCCAACAGATTGGGAAAAAAGCAGTCACAAATACCTCGCAAAACCCGTACTTAAGTTACATGTGCATAGTTTTGTTTTTGTATAGGAGCTATTACTTTCGTGCAGAAACCTTTTTTGCACATGGACTGTATTATATTTTAGACGTAATCATCTGTCAGACAGGAACAGAGGTCACGAATCTCCCATGGTTTTGAGTGGTCTGGGGTGGAATGAACAAAACCGCCCTCATGAGAATGAATCACCGCTTGGTTTAGTGGACTACAGCGCGCAAGTGCTGGAACGTCATGACGTACCCTTATTTTTGTCATGATGTCATTCACATGTGTGAGGCAGCGTGGTGGAATCAGGCTCTCGACAATATTTTGGAATGTAGAGTTATTTGTATCATCTTAAAACTTGTTCACTTGTCTTTATTTAAATGGGGGAAAAATATCCATTTATCTTGAATACAAGTCGAGATATTTGCGAAAGAAGGAGGTGGGGGTCACGTGTTTTCAGAGGTAAAATTAGTGAGAAAATGGCCACCAAGAAGTAGTTATTTCCTTAGCTTAACAGTCCGTGGTAAATGAAAAGTTACATTTGTTGTGTCTTTAATCAACGTTTTTCAGAAAAATCCAAACAGAAATGAGTTCTTTAATGGACATGAACGGTGTTGAGCCAAAAAACAAAAATTTGATAAAAATTCACAAACCTGCGGAAAAATGCAAGTTTCTTCACTTTGATTATTTTGACGAGAGCCTGATTCCACCACGCTGCCCCACAAATGTGTACTAGAGTTCGTGGCAGCGATGTCCCTCACCTGAACGAACGCAAAGAAGCGCCCCCTTTTTCAGAACTGATTTAGGTTTGGATAGAGTTTAACCAAGCAAAGAAGCGTATAAAATGCTAACATCTAGGATATATAATAGCATCTGATGCCAAATGTTCCACAGAAGTAAAACGAAGAACTGCAATGGCTAAGGCTAGTTTCAATAAAAATGAAATACAAAATACAAACATTTAAATGACTACCAAAATGCAAGTTTTAAAATGCTATGTATGGTCAACCCCTTTATATAGCTGTGAATGCTCGACAATCACTAAAGACAGTGAAAATAAAATAGAAGAAACAGAAATGTGGTTTTAAGGAGACTGCTGAGAATTCGTAGAAGGAAATGAAATCAAATGGGCTGCCCATCATTACGAATTTGGCGGGATCGTTGCGATATTTACTCAGTTTTACGAAAGTACGATCGTAATACCTCCGATTTCGATTTTTTAAAATTTTTGGCTACCTCAACCCACGGCCAATCTTCCCGGTGTATATGTCGTTCAGCGCCACATCGCCCTTTGAAAAACCTTTGGTTTAGTTTTAGTTTTAGTAAGGTTTTAAGGCGCTTGCAACTGCATAAGGTCATAGGAGCGCCAAGGCGTGAATGTCAACAGAGAAGTCCAAACAGGGAATCAGCCTTACTCTGCTCACCTCTCTAGCCTCAACAGCACAAAGTCTGCTTCCACTATCATGGCACCCCGGTATTAGCAGTTCACAAGAGAGAGACAAACATACAAAAGAAGTAGAGGGAAATGACGATAGTATGGGATGAGGAAAGAAAAAGCAGCAGTTCCCCCTATGTCGTTCTGGCACAGTATGAGCATGGCATTGATAAATCAGCCCATTTACAATGCTACCGTGCTTAAGCATTTAGTACATGCAAGCTGTAACTCCCCCTTTCCCTTTTTTTGGTCTTAATTCGACTATGAAGGGCCACAATACCTCTTTTTTTCCTCACGCCTTTGTTTACGTTATATTTATATAGTGAAACTCAGATTCAACGAACTCGGATTCAGCGAACACTCGGATTCAACGAAATTGAAGGTCAGGCCCGACGACTTCGCTGAATCCGAGTTCCACTGTTAAAGTAATGTTGTTCCCGCATCCCGTCCGGACATTGGGGGATTGCCTTGTTAGTGAGACAACTTCCTGGGCCTTCAGCATAACGTGGTAGGGTGGCCAGTTCCTTGCCACGTCGCCTTTACTTCCCCAACTCGAAGTCAGGTACTCATTACCCACTGTACTTTACGACAAACCCTATCCTTGACACCCCAGGGAAGAAAACTAACCTTGTCGTTGTTACGATTTTTAACCCAGATTACTATGTTTTTACATGTTGATTATGCTAGAACATGTTTGTCAAGACGCGGTGGAATGTGTGTGTGTGTGTGTGTGTGTGTGTGTGTGTGTGTGTGTGTGTGTGTGTGTGTGTGTGTATGTGTGTGTGTGCGAGTGTGTATGCGTATATTTAATAGTTGTGTTTGCAATCCTTTGGCTCATACAGGGGAGACTGTTGGAAGAAGATGGGGAAGGGGGGGGGGAGGGAGGGGGGATTGGGGGAAGGTTGTTGTACAAGTTCAAACATTGGAGTTTATTGAAGGAATTGATCGGGATTCAAAATAAATGTGTGGATGATTGGCGGGTGTTCCAGTGTGGCTTGCACCTTCTTTCCTATCAAACATAATAACATGTATCATCCTTATACCTCCTCCTGTTTTTGTTTGTACGTTACAGTCTGTGTGATCTCATTACAACATCTCTAAACTTCGACACTTGTCTGATCTATTTGTGTTCCTAGTCGCTTCCTCAGAATTACAAAGTTCTATATTTCAGTACATAGTTTTGAGAAATTTGACGTCAAAAGTTTCGAGTTTCACAATATGTCAAGTTTTTTTTCAAATGCAATCCTTTGAATATCTTTATAACAACTCCGAATGCTCTTATAATTTTAAAAGAGCAGATCAGATAGAACATTTGAGTTCTCACATCTTGGTCTTAGTAACCCAAAACAGCCAAAATGTCAGATAGAACTTGTGTAACTCTGAGGTCGCGAAGAGCCGTAAAACTCTTACTAAAAGTTAAATAATAATTATTATCTCTTATACAAAAACTGATTCCTGGACAGAGTGCTGTTTTCCAAGGTTCTAGCAAACGCGGTTTCCTCGACTATCTCAAATCGACATACCACGATGAGAGGAGGCGTCCATCTCGGCAGACCATCGAAGACACAGCTGGCACTGGCGCCCTGCTCAATCATAAGAAAACAAGGCGGAGTATTCCTTCTTTACCTTCAGGCCAGGACAGCACTGGTCACACAGTGGTCAAGCTGTACAAAAACGATCCGTACTTGAGGGTGATGGGCATGGTCAGGAACATCGTCAATAACGGTAGGTGGTGCTGGACTCTTGTTGGCCTTTCTTTTCTTCTTCTTCTGCTTCTGCTTTCTTTTTTTTCCTTTTTTTTTTTCTTTTTTTTGCCCTGCCCAATTCTATCATCTGGCGCTTTTGTGTTTAGTAATAACAACAAGGTGTGCAGCATTTGGGATTTTGAAATTGGCTGTTAGTCTTAAGCAATAAACGTTGTACGAGTGAAGTAACATGTTTATTTATTTATATATTTATAATATATAAAAACATTCTCCTGTGTTTTTACTCTAAAGGCTCGATTACACGCAACGATAAATTGTATCAGATTCGTCGTATGAGAGAACTGTCCGTTTTATCGAACTGTGTTGTCTGTATACACGTTCCAATCTATCGTCCAGCTTTCTTTCGATTGCGGACATTCCTCGTCATGAAGCCACCATGTCTATTTGCGACGACAGCGATTTGCCTACTCTCTATGTGAAGGTTTCGAGCTCTGGACCCAATGAAGGAAAGGCAAACACTACCTCTAGATCACAGAAGCCCCCCCCCCCATCCACCTCCCCTGTACATTTTGATATAGCAGAACAGTTCTTTAGAAAAGGGTGGCCATACTGTAGGCCTACCGTGTTGTGTGTAGAACCGGAAGCTTTAACTTGACTGCAGATGTGCAATGCACCGAGTGACCTTGATGCACAGCTTCACAATTGGAGATCAACTAAATAATTAAATTGCTAAAATATAAATAATAACACACCAAATCAGGTTCTTTGCGAACATCTTTGCTTATTTTGAGACGCTGATTCCGAATATGAAATCAGTTTTTACGTACGGTAATTATTTTTTAAAATTTTAGTCCTGAGTTTAATTCTGCTCGGCGGCAAATTTCAAAGTGAATCTATGTCACAGCGCGTCTCCTCAAATTTGAACGTGATCGCACGAAAAATATCAAGCAGCGCTTGATTTCTCGACTGAGTCTCCAAACCATCGTTCAATCGTCCAAATTTTGTACGATTTTGTGGTTATCGTATGATCGCTAGATCGCCCAGTTTTTGTACAATTTATCGTTGCGTGTAACCGGGCCTTTAGAGTAAACACACAGGAGAATGTTTTATATATTATTGATAAATAAATAAACATGTGAAGCGTGCTGACAAAATGAGTTACTTCTCGGATTTTAGTACTATGAAAATAGATACATTATCATGCTTATAGATTAAGTTTTTACAATTTGCAAGTACGAAATAACAAAAGGCGTTTAGTGCTTAATGAATATTGCATCAATAGAAAACCTAGAAATTTGTCCCCAGTGTCGATTTTTGGCCAATATCTGCATTTGTGGATAATGGGAAGTAACTCATTTTGTCAGCACGCCTCACATATGTTATTTCACTCGTACAACGTTTATTGCTAAGTTACACATCTATGGTGCGGTCAAAAATTCCTGGTGCAACATATCCTCAAATATCTCTTTAATAACGGGTGAATCAATGTCATCCATACTTTGCATAGCTGTTTGTATCCAGTTGTCTTAACTAAATCATATTTTTCCAGAACATTTGGGGCTAGATTAAAAAAACTGTTTTTCATGAATTTATATAAAATGCTTGAAATCTCTGTCACGCGTAAAATGGTATTGTTCACAGCACTTCCCGCTTCTCACTCACATTAAGTTTACGCATATGGCCTACCTCACAGCTCATCAAAGACAATTTTTACTTGCAAAACTTGTTACAAGAAATTATTGTTATAGTGAAAACATTTTTTGCACTAATGGCTCTCAAATCATGTGTTCAATAGGCATAATGTCCCGATTAGAAAAACCTGACGGACTTGCTATTAAAAACTATATTATCGCCCCAGCTGTAAACATTTACAAAATCTGTAGAAACCACCCACTTGGATTTTTTATTAGTATTTATTAAGGAATTTTCTAGAATGCAGCTAGCAGGTATGTACAAAAATGTTGATCTGTTAAGACAAATTGATACAAGTCACAGTGCAAAAATTGGAGAACATATGTTCGATAGTTGAGGAGATATTTGAAAATAAGTCGCACCACGAATTTTTGAGCGCACTATAAGTTTTGCCAAAGTCCTAAATGGAGATTGTTACAACAACTGGTTAGTAGTTATTTGTTTAGATCACGTTAGGCTTACATTCCTCAGCTCTTTCGAGTCACGAGGTGGGCACCCTCAGTCCCGTTCCCTAGTGGAGTCATCTTTACAGTGTCACCGAAGGTTCCGAAAGTTTGCACGAAGTCTCATACTATGGTGGTGACATTGTCAGTATTAGTGCCTAAACTACTGGGCCAAGACGAGCGGAGTAGGCAGAGGGGAACTGATAGAGGTCACAAATTTTACTGGTATGGGGGTTCCCCTCTATTAGAGCTGGATCCTGCTCGCCAAAACTGAGAGTGGCGACTCGCGATTCAGTAGGCTTCAAAGATTTGCGAGTGCGCAAGCGCTCGTGGAACACTAAGCCTCTGGCTCGTTGTATCCGTGAAACGGAACAGTGTCGTATCAACGCCACTTGGCGAGTCCCACTCTTGTTGTCCCGCCATCGAGATGTCTCTCCCGCCATCCTCTCCGCCCCCGCCCCCCGCCCCCAACTCTCACCCTTTATTGCGCTCCTCTATTGACCTCAATTAGCGACTCCATAAATTCACCCTCCCCCCCCCCCCCCTATACACCCACACCCCATGATTCGCTAAAACAATAGCCCCATAAAATTCCTTCTGTCTATTGGTTGGAACCATAGCGGTTGGAACCCTTTCATTTTGTTTTAATAGGGGGGTTGGACTACACCATCATTTGTAAAATAAGGGGAGCCGGGCTAAGTGTTCCGTTCCATGTTCCGTTCTTGCGCTCGCGACATACGAGTAGCACTAGGCCAAGGAGGTCACAGTTTTAAGCTCCTTGCACTAGGCCAAGGAGGTTACAGTTTTAAGCTCCTTGCACTAGGCCTATAGATCAGATAAAGCTACAAACAAGCTGCTTGGTGGTGACAGCGACAGGGGAGTGAATCGGGAATCGGAAGGCGATACTATTCCGCGTTCTGCTGAAGTGAATCACGAATCGCGTTCCGTAGAGAAGAGTGGCGATTCAGTTCCGTTCTCGCGCTCACGACCCTGCTCTACCTTCTATCTTGTGCTTTGGCTAAAGTTTACATAGCAGCCAACCAGAGCGTAAAAAGCAACATTTTAAAGCTTCTTTGAGGGTTTTGAGTTCGGAAGTACTTTTTCATATCAGAAAATTATATTATCTATTATGTATTTGTGGTGACCGAATGTTGCTGTTCAAAAGGCCTTTTAATGGCAGCTCGATTGACACGCAGTTCTCGCAAAAGGATTCTTTAAAATATTTTCCAGATCCTGACAACCTTCGTTTTTTCAGTTTTGAGACTGTTTTGCCTCAAAAAGCTAAATTTCTTTATTTCGCCGATCGCTTTTGTAAGCCGACACTTCTGTCTCTGTAATTTTAGAAAATCCGCCTGGTTTGTTTATTTCATTTCGTACTTCCGTTCGATACTATCGCGCATTGTTGCGCAATACTGAGCACTATTTTAAGTGTGAGACCCGTATAGATCTAGCCTCATGTTTTCTTTTTTTACCAAAGACTTTCAGTTGATGTTAATGCACCGATCATTCCTTTCATCGAAAGGGGGCCCAGCTAGTATATATATATATATATATATATATATTAATTTACTGCTTTCTATAGTGCTGCCAAATATTAGTGGCGCTTATTACCAAATATTTCCTCAACTATCGAACATATAGACTCCCCAGTTCTTACACAATGACTTGTATCAGTTTGTCTTAACAGATCAATGTCTTTTGTAAACACCAGTCAACTGTATTCTAGAAAATTCCTTAATAATATTTTTTTTTTAATCCAAGTGGTGGTTTCTGCAGATTTTAATTGGTTTACGGCTTGGGCAATAGAATCCATCGCTTTTAAAAGTTCGTCATTTTTTTTCTGATCGCGACTCTTTCATTATTGAACAAATGTTTTGAGAACTTTTAGTGCAAAAATTTTGTTCACTATAAAATCTCTTTCTTGTAACAAGATTTGCCAATAAAAAGTTTCATTCGTGAGCTGTGGCGTAGGCCATAATATGCGTATGCAAAATGTGTGTGAGAAGCGGGAAGTGCTGTGAACAGTCCCATTTTCTGCATGACGGAGATTTATAGTATTTTCTATACATTCATGACGAAATGTTTTTTAATCTAGCTTCAATTGTTGTGGGGAAAATATGATTCAGTTCAGACAAATTATTGATACAAACTGCTGGGAAAAATATGGATGACATTGATTCACCCGTTAAAGAGATATTTGAGGAAAGTTGCACCACGAATTGTTTTACCGCACTATCGTATTGCTCCTCATGGAGCTGTCTGTGTTGAAGAAAAATTATGAGCTTCCCGGATGGCATTTTTGCGAATTATAATGAGAACGAAGCCCATAAGTCAGTTTGATAGACTCCTACTACAAATTTTCTATTATTATTGAGCAGAGCTGCCTTATGTACCTGACGGCATAAGGAAAGAGTAAGTAAGTAAGAACTGCTTTGAATAGTTTGAATTCATGAAATGCAAAAAAGTGTGTGTGTGTGTGTGTGTGTGTGTGTGTGTGTGTGTGTGTGTGTGTGTGTGTGTGTGAGAGGGTTTTGACGGGGGATTACTTGTCCAGTGCCCACCATCTTGACCCGCCACGTATATATATATATAGTGCAATTTGGTTTGGTAAAGTTGGTAGCTATACATTTATGTTTATAATAGATAGATAGATAGATAGATAGATAGATAGATAGATAGATAGATAGATAGATAGATTAGATAGATAGATACATGTGTGTATATATGTATATTAATATATATATGTATATGTTTCCTTTGAGGTTCTAGATCACAGGTGTGTGATCTGGCCTGCGAGAGAATGTAATACGGGGTGCCCATAGTGGATGGGATTGGGTCGTGTCGGGTCGTGTCAGGTCGTGTCGGGTTGTGTCGGGTCGTGTCGGGTCATGTCGGTAGCGATCGACTAACTCGTCGCCTGAAAACAAATGCCTGTTTTCCACGGGGGACTTACTTACTACCCGTTACGCCATCTGGCGTTTAGGGCAGCAACAAAGGATCTCCAGCTCTGTCTGTCTTGGGCCATCTTGATCAACGTCCCACACGAATGGTTCCAGGACTTCATCTCTCAGACTCTACTATACTATGCGTCTCCAGGTCACTTTGGGTCTGCCCCTCTTGCGACGTCCTTCGGGGGTCCAGACGAGGACAGTCTTTACAATAGAGTCTGGTTCTCTTCTCAGAACATGCCCAATCCATCTCCATCTTCTCCTTGTTATTATGGTGGTCATGTCCTCATGCATACATTTCCGTAAAAGATCTGCGTTGAAAATCTTTCGGGTCAGAAGATTCGGAGGATTTGGCGTAAACTGGTTGTATGGGGGAGTTCAATGTTAACCATACGTGGACCACTCTCTTCCAAAAAGTATTGTAGATCGTGTCTAATCCTTTGAAGGCTTTTACTGGAACATTATCGATGGAAATTACCTAATTCGCCCTTATGTGAGAGGTGTAACTCTCATGAAATTGAAGATGAATTTCATTTTTTTTTCTATTGTTCACACTTTCTCCTTCAAAGGATATTGTTAATTCCTCCCAGCCTGACTCGGCTCAGTGACAGAAATATGCAATGTTTGACTCATGATAAGAGATGTGTGCACAACCTTTACCTATTCATTATGGAAACTTTATCTATCAAATGAATGTTTTGTGCGATGCGATGTGGGCCAATGGCCTTAAACACTGAATAAACTTACTTATTTACTTACTGGGACATTACTTTCAAAACAGGCTTTTCCAACAACCTTTTGCAGACTGTGCAAAGGTAATTTAACCCACTCACCCCTCTCCTTTTCCCTATTTAACAGTTTTTCCACCCATTGAAGGTAGAAAGTGTACTGAGTGTCAAAGAGATTACACGTTTTCATTCCCCCTTTCTCGGAGTTATTAAACATTATTTTACGTTTCACCTTTTCAAATGCTCGAGTATTTGTGAATTTCTTTTTCCAAATAAATTTAAAGAATAAAGTGTTTACGCGTCGCACAATTCCTTCCGGCATGCCAATACTCTGCATAAGGTAAATGAAGAAACTAAGGCCAAAAGTGTTTATGATTAAGATCTTACCCAGGATGGAAGTGTCTGTTTAGCCCACATTCCAAGAATGTTTTCTAGGGATTGGATTTTAGATTCCCAGTTGTTGTCGACATAACAGGCTGCCATGTCAGTTCTGAAATGTGTACCTAGGACAAATAATCTTGAAGAGAACGTAATGCCATGATATTGATTACGATAGTAATTGTGATTCCCTGGACAGAATGCTCTAGATTTATCGTTGTTTATGCACAATCCCGAAAACTTAGAAAATTGTTTAAATTTTGATAGTACTTCTCTGAAATCAATAATATCTCGTAGTAAAAATGTTGTGTCGTCAGCATACTGCCTGAACTTAGTGCAATGTTGAATTGGGCATTTTAACTCCCTTGGTGTTAGGGTCTTGTCTTACTTTTATTGCCAACTGTTCTACTGCAAGGATAAATGATAGAGGTGATAGTGAGCATCCGTAACAGATTCCCCTCTGTACTTCAAATTCAGCTGGTATAAATCCGTCGTTTTTTACACATACCATTCTATTGTTCATGATGGTTTCAATCCATGGCATAAAGACATCACCAAATCCGAATGCCTCGCATATATTCACCGACGTATTGTTATGTTTGTTAAATGGGAAATCTAACAACAATAATCAATAATCAACCAACTGTTGAAGAGAAATACAGTTAGGAGTCAGCAAGTGTTCCAAATAAAAGGTACCCTCACGATGTTCAGTGTGTGACCATTCCCGTTTTCCCCATGGGCTTCTCAAATATTGGGATGTTAATGTCTATAAATAGAGCGAAATTAGAAAAGGGAGCAAAGGGGGTGATGGTATCACAGCAATTACAGGGCTAAGTCTCAGGCTGTTGCTGTGTTTCTCCATTCCACAAAAATGACTCAAGCTATTGTCTTCTTTTCACGTCTTCAATACGATAAGATAAAGATACGATGAGATACGATAAAATAAGATAAGATGAGGTATGGTAAGATAAGATAAGATAATACTTCATTGTCTCAGAGGGAAACTGTGGACTGAAATCAAGTACTGCAACCCTGCACAGTGCTGAATGGACTAATAGTCAACCCATCTTTTTTAGTAATGTCAAGAGAAAAAGTGAGGACAGACGATTTAAACGATTGAAAAAAAATGCATTTTTTTAAAAAGTGTTCTCTTACAGCTTTCTCTGAGGTTTGCAGGTTGTTGGCGGGTGCTCTAGTGTAGTTTGCTCCTTCTTCTCTATCCAACAGCGCTCCTCATTTTCTTTGTTTGTTACTCTCTAGTAACATCTCTTCGGTACCTAATTCTGTTGCAAGTGACATAAATTCTTTCTTTTTTTTTTAGGGGGGGG